AGCTCAAAGCCGCCACAGATCTTTAATTAAATACGTTTTGGAGCAAAGCCTTGCCATTTTCCTCAAATAATTGTTCTAGTGTTGCTGGATATTAATAAACCATGCTGTCTTCACTCTTTACAATTTTTGTCAGTCGGGTAGATCCTTAATATCATTTCATTATGGTTTGAATTTTAATTTCCCAGATTACCCATAAAGTTGATGACAATTTTATATTTTATAGACTCCATTTTGATAACTTTGTTTTGGAAGTACCTTTTCAAATATTTCTATTGAGTTGTCTGCCATAGATTTCTGATTAGTGAGAGTTTTTAACATACTCTGAAAGGTGATAGTTCTTTAGTGCTTATGTATGTTGTAAATACTTTCCTCTGTTCTGAGCCATGTCTGTAGTGTACCTTGCTCAGAACAGAGGAAGGTATTTCAACTGAGAATCCTCTGTCAGATTTGTCTAGGTACACAGTGGGCCCTTTCAGTATGAAATTCAAGACTTGTTTTGTTTCAAGAATGTATTCTAAAATTAACTATAATTAGAGAGCACTTTAAATAGCAGATCCATTCTATTGTTTTGTTCTTCTTTTTCAGGGATCCCAATTAGTCTTATCTTGGATCTTCTTTATCTTTTATGTCTGTTACTTTCTTCTATTTTACTATTTTCTTTATGTTTCATTTCCTTTGCTCTTTATTTCTATTCTTTACTATACTTATTGTAATTTTGGTTTTATCTATTCCTTCTTGGATACCTGCTAATTTGTTCATTCCTGAGACAATTTTGTTTTCTTTAATTTCTTTCTTTAGTTTGGCCAACTTCCATATCACATCTTCCTGTTGTTTTTCCATTTTATTTTGAGTTGTTAAATTTTTGATTTATGGTGTATGTTAATATCTGCAACTGCTTGCTTAATTATATTTGTTGTAGGTTGGGAGTATTGTTAAGTTTTTCTCCGCTTTATGGCGATTTTTTAAATTTTGTTTTTGTTCAGTTGTCAGTTTTGAGGATTTTTAAAAGATAACTTTGTGTGGATGCTAGATTATTTTTGACTCCTTTTACCCTAATCTACCTCTTCCTTCCCCGCTTCTTTCCGGTAACCACTAATCCACTGTCCGTGTCCGTGAGTCTCTGTTTGTCTAGTTCGTTTGTTGCTTTTGATGTCATATCCCACATGTGACTGAAATCATATGGTTTTCAATTTTTTCTGTGTTACTTATTTTGCTTAGCATGATTATCTCAAGATCCATCCACGTCGTCGCAAATGGCAGTATTTCATCTTTCTTATGGCTGAGTAATATAATAGGTGTTCTTATGGAGGAACAAGTAGTGTTTTTGCAGCATTTTAGTTTCTAGACTAGGAGCACCCTCTTCTGTTAATACAGTAAAATGCATTTATTTATTTATTTATTTTTAATATCTGGGACCTTTTTGAGAAAGGATTCTGTTTTCTTTCGATGATGATGATGATTATTATTTTTGTCTTGGCACATTTCTTCTTTTCTCTTACTGCCTAGCCCCAAAGGAACACCTCTCTCTTGCAAAGCATTTTCCTCTGTCTCAGAAGCTATGTCTTCCCATGATTATCATCTCTGGCCTTGTACGTTTTACAAACCCCTTTCTTTTGGATTCCTCACAGAAAGTGCTCTGATTTACCAGATTATATTCTTACTCTCATTATTTCTGCAAGCATGAGAGGGATCTCTTTTTTCAGATTAAACTATGGTTGATGTAAGTAAGCTGCATTATCTGTTTATAGTTCTCTCTGATAGGTAATATACGTCTGACTGCTCAGATGTGGGCTCCCAGGGATACTCCGCTGCTCTAGGGTGTTTATTTCCCTACTTACATGTAAATCGAAATATGAGTAAAATCTGTGTCCTAGAATTGCTGAGGACATAAATATTCCTTTTATAGTAGTTGGGAGATTGTGTGGAGAGATTCTAAATTAGATAGTTGTTTCTATCCTGTGGGATTCTGACCACGTAAATTAAGAAAATAAAATAAACTAGAAAAAGAATAATAAAACAAAAATGGGAACAAAGTCTTACGTGTATTTCATCACAACAAATAAATAACTTTTATAGAATTTAGGCTTTTGAAATAAAGAATAAAATTATTGTTAATATTTACTATTTTACTGTTATGGTTTAAATGGTACACTACTGTTGTAATTCAACACATAAAACATGAAATTATTGTTTAACTATTTCAGACAATAAACAACATGCTTTACATAGGGTATTTTTAATTAAAGTTCAAATATTTTTCATAAGTGACATTCATTTATTTGTTTCTTCATTCTTCTATTCATTTACTACATAAGTATTTATTAATTGCCTGCTGAATTTAGCCACTGTTCTAGGGGCTGAGGAGATACTAATATGCAGACACAATCTTGTCACTGCCCTCAAAGAGTTTGTAGCCCAGTGGGAAAACGATAATCAAGTTAGGCAGTAATGATACCTCCTGTGAATGCTGTGATAAAGGAATTGCAGAACTCTATGCATAGGAAACAGAGGAGGAACCTAAATGAGGCTGAAGAGATCAAGAAAGGCTTCCAGGAAAAGTGTTAGGTATACGAGAATCTGAGGTGCGCCTCCTCTTGCTGCAGGTCTTCAGGCATGGTTTTCCCTCTGCCATCTCATCTGCTTGTCCTATCTTCTCCTTCTGTCCCCTTCTTCTCAGTTCACCTGGCTATTTTCTACTAATTGTTCAATTTCAATTTAAAAACATCACTTACTCTAGAAGCCTTCTTTGAGTCCTTTAGTTTCCCATAGGTACTCCATTTGTTGGTATGTCTAGTTGCTAAATTGAATAAATGAAAAAAAGGAACGAATGAATGAGAGAATTAGTTAGGAAAAGTAGGTAACTTTCTTTCGATAGGATTACAAACATTGATCTTATGATTGGTGGAAATGGAAAAATTAGCTGGGATGGAGAAAATTTAGGATAATGGTTTGAGAGATGTTAAATGATTTGAGAGGCTTGCATTTGGGGTTCTACTTGAGAATTATAAGCATAAAAAGTTTATATAGAATTAACTGGTTTTTGGATTCTCAATTTACAACAAAACTATTGCTTTTGTACTAGAACTGATTAAAAGATTATAGACAATGTATGGAAATATTTCTGAAGGTTCTGTCTCCTAATATTAAATGTATCCTGGGAATGGTAGCAATAACTTAGTCTTGTAATGTTAAACAAGAAATTTTATCAAACAAATTGGAACAATGGACTGTAATCACAGGACCAGGACTCTAATACCAGATCAATCTTTTATTTAGGCAAGTTATTTCTTCTCTTTGTGCCGCACCCTTTCTCTTTATAAAATGAGAATGATCAGTCACTGTCTACTTGAACAGGAATGTTTCAAGTTGAAGGCATATATCAACCATCAAATATTTACTGAACCTACTATGTGCCTCAATTCCTAGCATTGTTTTAAATGCTGAGGACACAGCAGTAAACAAGACAAACTGCTTTGCTCTTAAGGAGCTTGCTTCTAAAGGAGGTGAGGGGTGAAGGGAACAGACAATGAACAAATAAGTAAGACAATATCAGCTAATGATTAGAACTGAGAAGTCAATTTAAAAGAGCATAATACAGAGTGATGAGGCAGGAGAGATACTTTGGCTAGAGATTCCAAGGATGGCATTTCTGTGGAGATGTTAAATTTTGATTAATAAGGAAGCAAGTATGTGAAGAGATAGGGAAAAACAGTTTAAACAGAAGAAACACTAAATGTCAAGGTCCGGAGAAAGGAATGAGCTTGCGGTCTTAGGACCCAAAACAAGGCCAGTGTGGCTGGAGTGTGATATATAAGGAGGAATGTAGAGGGACATTAATTCAAAAGTTCAGCAAGGAATAGATAGTTTGAAAAGTTTGTATTTTATTCTAAGTAAGGCAGGAAGCCTTTGGAGGATTTTTAAGCTAGAGATTTACATGATTTAAAAAATATTTTAGAAAAATCAGAATGACTGCTGTATGGAAAAGCCTGTACAGGGACAAGAATGGAAGCAGACAGACCAGTTCAAAAGATAATGTAGCTTTCAAAAGATGATAGTGGATTGACTAGGTATGTAGAATGTGGCAGATGTTGGAAGTACTTTGATAGTAGTACCAGTTGACCTTGCTAAGGGATTAGACATAGGGCATAAGAGAAAGAGTTAAAATTTTGTGTTAAATTTCATACAGTTATACAATTGAAATCATATCACCTTATACTATAGAATTTTAAACATGAGGTTTTCATTTCTTTCATAATCTTAAAAAAACAAACATAAGCATATTCTGGTATACTAGCATAGAGTTTGTGTTGCTGTTAAGTTTATATTTAGAATCTCACTGGTGTCAAAGTAATTCCCTAAACTGGCAGTATCTAATTTTCTCAACCAGGTATCTCAGTTTCAAGAAATTCTGTTCCACATCAGTTTGAGAATATATTGGGAAAAATTTTGATAAATGATGAATCATATTAGATGATTCCCCAAAACATAAGTCATTTGGGAGCTGAAAAAATATTTTAAATCTGCAAAAAATATATTATGCCTTCTTTTTTCAAATTCTAATTATATAACTAATGAATTCAAATCAGATTATAGAAAAGTAACCAAAATAAAAAATATATACATTTGGATATAGGTAGTATTTTTAATAAAGGTTTTCCAGCAATATTACAATATCTAAAGCCTTATTAACATCTTAAATGCAACATATTCCTTTCATAGTAATAGTTGTAAATACTAATTTAATGATAACTTTTAGAAATATGTATTTATTTTTATAACACATGAATAATAGTAGTAGAAAAGAAGAGAAAGTGGTCTCTAAAAATTAGGAAATCAACAGGTCACTAGTAATTTACTCCAAAGCAATAAGATTGGTTATTTTCATGATTTTGCTCTTTTGATATTTGTTAACACATTGTAGTTTCTGTCAGCAAGTCAGTTAAAAATAAATATGTATAGACGTTATCCTTAATAAAGATGTCTTTGTATATCTCACACAGAATTACCTTATAATTCAGATCACTGAAGTACAGCATGCAATTGACCAACTTAAGAGAAAATTGGATACTGACAAAATGAATCTCATCATAGAAGTTAAGGTAATTTGCATCTCTCCTAATGAGATTATAAAATTTATCTTGAAATAAAGTATTTTGATGTTTTAACTTTGGGTGTCAATAGTATAAGAGTAGGAAGGATCGACAGTCTTAAAATTGTTGCCTTAATAACAAATAGCACAAGTGAAAAAATGCAGTAACGACAACTAACTCCTGAAAAGATGCATGTTACAACAAGGCCAGAGTAAAATTTAGGAAAATTCCAGTGAGAATTTTTTTAAAAAGTACCCTGTCAATCAGTATAAAGTCTCAATGAAACATTTAAAAGGGGTAGTTTTCATGTACTAGGGTCATTCATAAATAAGTCTCACAAACCACTGAGCTCTCTGAACTCTCATTTGTTTTTCCTTCTCTTGAGTAATTATCTCACTCTCTCCAGTCATTTTCGTATGTATACTTACACGAATGCTCTCAATTCACCTCTTTATCAGAAATGGCTTTATGACACAGAATAACGACCTCTTTCTAGAATAGGCACTTCCAAGAGAACTTTCTGTGACAATGGGAGTGATTCATACCTGTAGTGTATGCTAAGGTAGCCACTAGAGACAGAAGTTATTGGGCACTTGAAATGTAGCCTTCCGAGTGACTAAGGACTGAATTTTAAATTGTATTTAATTGCAGTTCATTTAAATTTAAATAGCTGCATGTGGCAAATGACTACTGTATTGCACAGCACAGCTTAGACCCTTTTAACTAGCAACATTCTCAAGGCTAAGTCTTGGCTGGGCATTGAGAAGCTTAAAACTTAAGGTGCAAAAAAGAAGAAGGGCAAGGGACAATTTTTAACAAATATGAATATTTAGTAGTCTTATATGGTATGCAATAAAAAAATAATTTGTTCAATGAATAAAAACTATGTATTCAAAAAATGGAGAGAAAGTCAAAGTGGAAACTACACTTAAGGATGTTGGGTGGGTAAAAGGGAGTAATAGAAACACTTCTTTTGGAAAGTGTACACATTAAGTCTCACCATCTTTGTTTATTTTATCATTATAAATATCACTTATGAATGGTTAAAATCCATATTAGAATCTAGTACAAAAACAGGAAAGACTAATAGGAAAAAGACAAATTTTCAGCTTACACTGGGGAAAAATTCTACATTTAACCATAGCGCCTAATTGGCACATAGTACACATTATTAGTATATATTACTTATTTCTGAATCGTTTACCGAAAATTTACCTATAAAATTCAAAACTAAGGGGCAGAAAACCTAGCCTGAGTCTGTTGCAACCATATTCAAGTTAGTTTAGCGTTAACAGTGCTTCTTTAACTTTAATATGACATCACTGGAGGGTGGATCCTTTGGAAGTATGATCTGACTCAGTGGTCTGGGGTAAAGCCTGAGATTCTTCATTCCTAAGAAGCTCCCAGGTGATGCGAATGCTGCTGATCCACAGACAGTATATGGAATAGTAAGGGCACTGGCACCAGATGGTTTGAGTTTGAATTCTGGCTGTGCCACTTATCAGTTTTATACCTGGAGTAGGTTACTTAACTATTAAGCATCTCGGTTTCCTCAGCCTCTACAAATTTTTTGAAAGAATTAAAGGGATTATTCCATTTAGAAGAGTGCTTGCCACAGAGTAACACTGTTATATTATTTAAGTACCTGTTCAGTTTCTGAGCACTGGCAATTAAAGTTTTTGTAATTTGTTTTTTCAGTTTTTTGGTGTGTTTTATTATTATTATTTCTTTACACTTGAGAACAATGGATTTTGAAGCTTGAGCAAAAGATACAATTTTCACTCTATTTTTTTAAAGCAGTTTAATTTTTTTATTCTTATATACCAATAAATGAAATTATTTTATAGCATATGTAGCAGTTAATAAGCGTGCTTATTCAACAGGACTTACGACCTGTACACTTCCCATGGTGATCCAGTGGGTGTGAAGGCATTGGAGGGAAATGAGAGAAGACAGTTAAAGCAGTTACAAAAACCCTATTTACATGACATTTATGTAATTCTGGGGGGTATAATGAAGTTCACCTTTGAAAGATAATTCCTTCTGTAGATGAGAAAACAAGCAATTTCAGGTATATGCACATTGAAAGCTGAACTGACATAGAATAAAATTAATACATCTTCATAGCCTCAATTAGGTAGATTAATTTAAAACTTGTGTTTGTCTAAACATTAAGTGTTTATTTGAACAGATTTGTTTAATCTTTGTTTTCCTTGGCAATGTTTTCTGTAAGTCATTAGATTTATATTTTTTCACTTTATGTGAGTTTTACAAAGGGTTTCAGAAAAATATTAGGTGTATAAAAGCAAAATTTTGATTAGGTATATTTGATTTCATTATTTTCAGTTTTAAATAGTAAATTTTAACTGTAGAATTTAAATATAAAATCACAAAATTTAGTAAATATGAATACATTTGCATGTATATAGGGAGAATTTAATTTGTTCATTGTATTTTAATTAAAAGCAATCTGGAAATATAAAAGAATAGAGATATTGAAATTGCATCCGGAGCTATATTAGAGGTTAGTATCTAAGACTCTAAATGTTTTTGGTAATTTAATTTAGAAGTAAAAAGACATTAGAAATTAAGCAAATAATAAGGAAAATGGTTGGCTTTTCGCTGCCATAAATAATTAAGTAGGAAATGAAATATTCTCATAACAGATGACTGAATCATCATTTATTTCCATTTGGAGGGGAATAAATGTGCAGGGAGGCAGGATTTATGTAAATCCAGAGTTCAAGGATGCAGACTTTTCATCTAAGTATTTATAAGAACTAATATAAGTGCAACACACAATGTTCTTAACTGATGTGAAAAAGAGAACAGACCTCTGTACATTTAGAAAAGTTCTTTATACAAAATTTCTCTTTATAAAGAAAAACAATTTGAGAAACCAATGTCTTTCGATAATTAAAAGTAAAATGCAGATAGAGAAAAAGAGAAAAATTAACCATAAAAAGAAAACTAGCCAAGAAATAAAGTATAGATATCCATAGTGAAGGGATATTAAAAATTGGAAGGGTAAATGACAATGGATAGAATCACGTTCAACGGCAAGTTTTTCCTATTTTAAAACATCAGTTATAACCTCATGAGAAATAATTTAGTTGGAAAATATTAGGTAGCTCTTACCTACTAACACCAAATATTACTAATTTAGCTTTTTGTATTTTGAAAGTATTTTAATCCTTATATTGTTTTTTCCCTTCCTCTGGAGATTTAAGCAATTTAATTCAAAAGGACATGAGTACTATATGGAGTAAAGGCGCAGGAGATTTATCTAGGATTTCTATGAACCTAAAGAGGAGACACTAAATGGCAGGTTTTAAAATTAGATTTATTGGGGAAAAAAAACAAACAGCAAACTGCTTGTCAGAAACTAGGCTTTTAAAAATCTATCCTAAGCAAACAATTTCCATTTTGAATTATGCGTATTTTAAAAATTGGAATTGATTTGTAAGCATATATTTTATGCTTATCATGGGGGATTAACATAATAAAATTCTGAAAGTAATTGTTCTTAATTACAGTATTAAAACATTTATGGAGAAATATTTAAGAGAGTAAGTTGACTGGTCTCTTAACTTTGTTTCTGGACACTGAAGATATCAATACATATGTATCTTTCCAATGCAAACAAAGCATCTCTTTACCTTTATATGTTTTTCGTGTGTGTGTATTTTTTTTTTTAGGCGAGACAACCCTTGGTTGACCTCACAGATTGCAAGGACCTTGTCAGATTATAATCCCATATTTTTTATGCCTATAGCACCTTGTCTTCCTAGGTGGTCTCCCATCCAAGTACTAACCAGGCCCAACCCTGATTAGCTTCCAAGATCAGATGGGATCGGACTTGTTCGATAGCATGGCGGTAGACTCTTTTTACCTGTTTTTGATTATAGTAATAAGTAAAAATACAGCAACATGACAAAAATGTATATATATTTTTTTACCTCTTCAAGAAACTACATCTATTTATACACATCATTTTCTAAATCTTAATAGTTTGACAGTGGATGTTCATGTCTGTCACAGCTTTGGTTTTAATGCTTTCCACATATCTTCAGTTTGCTGTTTGGCTACAGCGTCTCCAGAGTAGTCAAGACAGTTTGCATTCCACATGCCAATGCCTCGTAAGCCACGGGTTTGTATAAATGCTGCCTTTAAAGAAATGCTCTGAGGGTTATCATACCACACTTGATGAAAATGGCCAGCGGAATCCTATAAAATAAGTAAAAATGGAAGTTTTAAGTATTCATTACAAGAAGAGGAAAAATATTTCTTAAATTCAAGAATTCAAAAAGGATACAATGAAATAATTAAAATTTTAGAGAACGCTACTTTCCAGACATCACTGCTTATGGCACTTTTACAACAGCAAAAATTACACAAAAGAGCCTCCTAATATATTCCATTTAAGGTCCTTCTCATGCTCTAAGATTCCTTCCTTGCTCTGACCTGATGATTATCATCCAAGAAGTACATCTGAGTCACTTGTGGAGCTTTTAAAAAGATAGATGTCTGGGACCCAGACCACATGAAGCCTACTGAATCAGAATCTTCCAGGGCTGGTGCTTGGACATATACTTGTTTGTTTTGCATTTTATGTTCCATTAGGTAATTCTGATATTCAGCCAGGGTTAAGGAGGATCACTGCTCTGGTCCTCTGACACCAGCTTAGACGCTTTTTTGTGTTCTCTACGGTGCCTGGAAAAGTGCTTGGTTGCGAGCTCAGCACGTGCTTTGTTTATAAGAGTCAGTCAGTCAAAAGGTAACAGCAATAGATGAGGAAAACTTTTCTGGGTCTTACAGAATTGATTCTAAGAGCCTGTCTGATCTGGACTCCATGGGTGCCTTATGCACACAGCTGATAAGAACTGTGAACTAGAAAATGGTCCTTCCACCCTGTAAGGTCCTTCTCCCCAGCAACACCTTGCCACTCTCTAGTAATAACAGTTTCTCTTACAAGGTAAATAAGCTATTGGATAAGGGATAAAGGAAAG